TCCTTTGGGCAGTTTTACCGAGTTCTGCCCAGTTGTACTGGAATGGGGGGGGGGAATGAGAAGATACGTGAGATCACAGGGCTTGCCTTGGGTCTATCTTGGAGAAATAAGAGACTCAACTTGAAGGCTGTAGGGAGACGGTTCGGGATTTTGGCTTGAGGAGTTAATGGGCGCTCATTTCAGTCATACTGACTACCGAGAGGAGAAAGTGAAAAACTGATGAATCAAATACGTACAAGACGGTCACGCAGGTTCCGAAGGTAACGAATACATAGGTGCCTGATCATGGTGGAGTTTGAATCCAAAGAATAGTCAGATTTTCCCATTTGCAACCGGGATGAAAAAGTGAGTGCACACCTGGGTCGGCCACCAGACTCCCAGTGGAGTTGTACAACTGAGCAGAAATCACAACATCGCAATCGGCCTACAAGTAATTTTGACAGCCTCATCAGTTTGGGTAGCACATGGAATTGAAGTGTGCTACGACTCACGGAGCTAGGCGGTTGAAAGCTGCCTGTTGAAAGAGACCCCGGCAGCATAGAACGCCAATGGGGCTGTGTCAGCGAAGCAGAGGGCAGCAGAAATACTGGAGGGTATAAAGGTGAGATGGCTTGCCGGCATAGCAATCCCAAGCATTAGGCTCAGCGGGAGTCAGGTCGATAGTGGTGAGATTGAGGCTTGATTGGGCACCCGTGCTGCCACCAGACGGAGTGCTGGGGTAGAGCCCGGTGTTATTTTGAGTGTTGGTATCGGTGTAATCAGTCATACCTGAACCCCCAGCCTGGCGGCGAGCACGACGACGCTTGACTGGCTGGCCAGAATGGATTGTGGTGGTTTTCTGGTAGTATGTGACCGTGGCGGAATACATGACGAATTGTTGGGTCATTGTAGTGCCAGCAGGCCCTTCATGGGTACATCTATGGGGTGCGCCTGCATGGTTTTGATGGATCAGTGATATGTAATCAAGAATCGAGAAAAGGTGAGTATTCGAACGATCGACGCACCCGCCTTGGCCGTATTAATGGCGCATAGGAAGACCGCTGAAAGGAGAGTATAGAGTGAGATAGGCATTTGGTATTGACTAAAGAACAACGATTGGAAGGTGTCGCTTTAAGAATTGACGGTTTAGTGGTACGACACAAAACTCAAGACTGAAAGCAAGACAAGATATATACAGTATGGAGGGAACGATTGAGGTTCAGATGGAAGGAATGTGGAAAGACGATGAGAGATGGGTCGACTGAGGGGAACCAGAGCCAGGTTATAAGACCGTCAATCAGTCAGCCAGTCAGTCAGCCAGTCAGTCAGTCAGCCAGTCACCAAGACTAACACTAGCTCAACCAATATCACTCTCAAACCAAACGCGAGGAACCGCCCTCGTCACTAACAACACCTGCCGTGTTTCCCGTCGTCAACTGAAACCTTGATTCAGATAACGCCAAGCCCCCTCTTAAGTGGTAGCCACCTGCCAATGAGACACCAGAAGCGGTTTCGATAGATCCAACCCTCCCCGTAACTGGCACACTACTGTCGTGCTTACCCTTGGACTAGTTTAGTTCTCCGACTGCTCGATGGCTCCATAGAGACCTTCTTCGGTCCCAGAGAAGGGTCACAACAACTTGCATACATACAGTACGTTGTTCCGGCCCTAGCTCTTCGCCTTCATCGCCACAAGTGATCTACCTTCGTAGTTTCTCTCGTTGACCCTGAACAATATTTTTCTCAAGTATCCTCCGCCTTCGAACGCTTCGGTCGGTCTTTTTTGTTTTTTTTTTAGGTTAGCTACGCAGTCGAGGTGGGGAAAGACCCAGACACGTTCCATGGGCCATGGGTGGGAATACGTAATAGTTTTTGAACATATGTGCCTGAACAAAAAAAAAAGGAAAGCCGCGACGTGTCGAGAATCTTATTGGAATTTGGACAAAAAACAAGACCTTCTTGGGACGTGGGGGCTGAAGAGAGGACTCTAGATGAAAAGCTAAAAAAAAAAAAATTCCTTTTTTTTTTTAGGTAGCCTTTCTAGGGTCCTGATTGAACGTTCATCAACATCGGCCTAACCCATTTCGAACCATGAGATAAGAAGAAAAAAAAAAATAGTCTGACCCTTTTTCGGTCAACAAACCCCATAGCCTGATTGAGTTGAGGAGAACAAAGTTCCCGATTCCAACATAAAAAGAAATAAGGATAACGGTGGCAAAAATCAAGTCTACTAAACTATTGCCTAATAATTCAAAGTGTGTAAATGAACTCAACCCATAGTAGCATCTCTTGATGTACGTAATCCCCCCCCCTAAGAAAAGTCAGACTCCACATAAAAGTGTTCTATCACACCAGGTGAAGGCTGAACCGGCGTCGGTGGCTAAAAGTCCCCCTCTCAGCGCACCATGGTGACCGGGCATAGAGTACATTACCCATTAACGCACCCACTATGTTAGACCGACATTCAGAGAGATCACCCATTTCGAAGCCAACCGTGAGCATGTTAGTTTCAACATGAAAATTATTAACTTGATATAGGCAAAGCCAACACTAAACAAAGATACCCATCACAAATAAATTTATAGTCCAGACCGAAAGACAAATGAGAAAACCGTTTTAACAGTCTGATACGACTCCGGGTGCGCGAAACCTCAGTACATGCTTTATGTCACCCATCAAGTCTACACCGGTATATCCATCAGACTTTATGTCTGTAAGACTACAGGGTGATCACTCTGCATGCCCAAGTAACCTTGATTTTTACTATCGTGGATGGTAAGGTACTAGTAATATGCGACTGAATGAAGAAAGGTGCGAGTCAATACACAAGACAAAACAAAAAGATACTTATGTGATTGTCGATGACAATTGGACAAGCTTACCTGTATGAATTAGCTGATGGGGATGTTTCTCCATTTGTCGTTCGAGAATGCCTTCCAACTCCCCATCTAGGTCGGTACATTCTTCGATACGTCCACAGAGCTCAAGCAAAGCTTTACCAGCCAAAAGGGCTTCTTCGTGGTTATCTTTGATCTCTACATTGATCAGATGAACAGGCTTGTTGAGCTCACCACCTCGATTAAACAAATCATCACAAACGGCATCAAAGCATCGCTCTTCACAAGTGATGATGATGTCTGCTTGACCGGATGCACCTTCCTGCCATCGCTCAGGTGCGCGCTTTAATCGTCGATTGCGATCGAGCATAGGGAGGATACCGTTGGCCATATATCTGTCAAGTTGGGACATGATTAGTCTTGCAATGTTATTTGTTTATAAAAGACCGTCAAATGGGTCGACAAATTGTGACGGCACGTGCTACAACTAAATCAAGGTTGGGGACAAGGATGAGTGATAAAAAAGATAAGAGACAACTCACAATCGCTCATCCTTGTTCTTCAGATCTTGATACATGTCATCGTACGGAGTCCCGAAGGGGTATACGTTCGGCTTATCGATGGCGGGCCCGGGTAGCCGAACCATGGAGCCAGTGCCGGCGGATGTGACGCGGAAAGCTTCTCGAGCCAGCACATTGTGACCCTCCATCGAACGATTCTGCGCCAGTAAAGAGTAAATGACGAGCGAACGGGCAAAAAGGTGCACTCAATATCAACTAAGGCTCTTGAACTTTATATATCATTACATTATTTGAGACTACATTAGGCTCTCGATAGATGAACATGATAAGGGGACAAGACAATCCGTTGTTGGTGAATGTGATGACAGATACACACGGAATACAAAGCAGGCCTTAACGGGCTTGTTGTACTGTATATGTCCACAACGCTACCGAATCCACAATGCTCTGAACAAGCAAGGGTCAAGCGCGTCGAAATTTTGGATTTTCGCACGAGACTGTGCCCTAAACCGGTAAGAAGAGTAGGAGAGGAAGAGAAACTAAATAGGTATCACCTACCTGATTACTTGCGCACACTACGCAGAAGGTCCAGTTACGGGACGCAAGTTTTAATTCTCTTTCATTTTCTGATGTGCCATTATTTAAAGACTCGGATGGCGGAGGCAGAGCAGAATCGACTGGGGCTGGTGTAGTGGGTTGGGTCGGAGGTGGGGTCGCGTTGGCAGCAGCAAGGCGGGCGCGTAACCTGGGATCATTGGAAGCCATAGTCTATGACAAATCGCTTCAACATTTGTACGAAGATAGGTGGACGACCGAGCAGAAAACGGAGAGTGATAATGATCAGCTACGCTACACAGGGTCAGCGATGGCAGGCATCAAGTGATATAGCGAAAGATTCGCAGTGAGCAAGTTCAGAGTGAAAGGTTTTCTCAACAGGCTGGACACTTGCGAGGTGATCTCGGATCATACACTACCGGTGGCCATGATTCATGACAGCTCCAATAGATAACCTGATAAACTCATCATGTTACGCTCGAAGGAAGAAAAGAAAGAAGGAGAGGCTCACCATTTGCGCCAACAAAGGGGTCAAGAGGTCTCATTCGAGTGGTCAGTGGCGCATGAACATTGGATCACGGAGCCCAACGGAGAAAGCGGGGACAGGGCCGGGTCTAGGGTTCGTCAACTGATTTGTGACAGGTACAGCTTTGTATAGGTTTTGACTTGCTGCGCACGATACTATGAGACACACAAAATTACTACATGGTAGCAGTCATACATACCGTTCCTGTCATCGACCTCTCTGGTCTCTTGACACCCACTTTGACCAAACGTCCGGCCCCGACCCTGGCCCCCTGTCAAATTACATACCCTTCCTCCTCACTTCTTCCACCACTGCCTATCAAGCTGCTCTTCATGCAGAACAGGGTGACGATGAAGAAAACATAACCCAACCATAGCACGTGAAAAGAAATAATGTTCTATACCAATTGTTTGTTTTTTGTCCTTGAGCCTTCTAAATTCTACACAGAATGAAAAAAGGGCCCTCAAAACCGCGGGAACAATGTCGGCCGACCAATACGTTCCTCGAGGAAAAGGAGGGTGGGGACTAGACTCGTTGCCCTGAAACTCCGCTGGCAACGTTAGCCAAAAAGAAATCGGACTTTGGAGTACCTGGGAATCGAACCCAGCGCCTCTCGCAGTTGCATGCTAAGCGAGCGCTCTACCGATGAGCTAGAACCCCCCCGTGTGGAGGCAGGCTTGAATTCGTGTTTTGAAGTATTTGTAGAACTTGAGTTGAGTCTGAATTGAAAGTGCTCTGGAATTTTGATGATTCTCTGTCGAAACGTCATTTCCAAATGCGAAGAAAGGTGTGGTGAGGTCAACTTTCCAGAACTTCAAGTTGAAGGCTGTTGCTGAGATACTGCCTTCAGTACGTTGGATGGAGATGTCTAACTCAAGATGTCATGTGTTTGTTTGAGCATGTATGGCCGTAAAGAAACGGTTGATTCAAATGAAAATGTTCCAGTAGGAGAGTGAAAGTTTGGAAAAATTCGAGCAGTCATAAAAAAAAACTATTAATGAAGTGTTTCTGCTCGAATTTTGGATGAGGTCTAACTCGTTTGCATAGGCCCCGCTGCTCGCAGCGTCGTAGTGCCTGGACTGGGTTCTGCATCCACAGGTGGGATGCCCTGATTCAGATGCACTTCCACGGCACCGATAGAGCCTTCAAGCCAACATTGTAGCGGCCTATGTCAATGAGGCACCGCTCACTTTCTGCTTGTTTCCGTCTTAGGCTCTGCTCGAAACCAATCGAGCGACTTTACAAGGTGGCTCGTTTTGTTGTAAAATTTACGTTAAATTGACGGAATCGAGGAATTTGTTTTATAAGACATTTGAGCAGCCTAAAACGCCAACTTGAACCCCCCCCTAATAAAACGAGCCTTATGTTAAAGTTACGTTGTCTAAGCTACCACTGGCAGTGATTGGGATCACTCTGTAAATTCCAAGATCCGAAGGTGTCTTTGTATGGACACTACCTTGGACCCTTGGTAAAAGGCATCAAATTAGTGTCTCTTTTGGTTCACTTTCAAGGACTTCTTGGATCAAAACTTGATTGTTGCTCTTTCACCTCACATTCTAGGTGTTTTTTTTTTTTTTTTTTTTTCAATCCAAAAAAAAACAGAGAGTAGGTATATCAAGTGATACAAAAAAAGTCTTTGAACTGATAATTTAATATTTAATTTCGCCACCAAAAAAAGAGTACATACCCAGACAAACTTTTCCTAGAGTTTCTCAGACAAGTTTTTTTTTTTTTTTTTCTGGTTCAGAATAGAAAAAAATCTGTTTGAGAAAAAATCTTGTCTTAAAATTCTGAGAAAAATCTTGTTGCGGTAGTTTTCATTGGAAAGGTGTCCTCAAATGATGTCCTCCCTGAAAAGATACCTCTCAGATTGTATTGTAAAATCCCAAGAAAATGTTGAAATCCAGTGGTGCACGCTCTTGATGATTGGATAGAGGAATATGCTTATAATAAAACTGATCCAGTCCTTACTCCAGACGTGTCAAATCACCAACTTGCTCTTTCCCTATTTTAAAACTCAATAGGGAAAGAGTAAGTCATTTCTCTTATTTTATTTCATTCTTAACGTTGTATGTTTTCTTCTCACCTGATCTGATCGAGCCTGGCTCTTACACTTGTAGAAAAACTCCTTCATAATATTCTCTCTAAAAGTGTCCCAGGCTGATACCCATCCACACTCGAATCTAGGTCAGCGTGTGTGGATTGTCCTCTGGGTTAGAGAGTTGCTCACCCAGCTACTGGACCTTTGTATCAGGTTCCGCACAGATAGAGCTCCCCTGGAATAAGACAACATAATTGTAGTTTAGGCGAATATTGTCTTAGAGAGCAATTAATTTTGCAGAATTTTTTTCTGAAAATGCCCCCACCAATGCCATAGCGTAGAGGACATGTGGGGTGGTGGTGCTCAGATGGTTTTTGGGCATGAAGGCAGGTCGAAAGAGCCAAAAAAAAAAAAGTTGAGTGTGGAGATTGTGAAACTTTGAGACCAAGACCAAAACTGTTACAAGAGAATTAATGAGAAATTTTAAGAGCCTAGGGACAGGGTGGAACTGATGACAGCTCTTGTGAGTATGTGCATGTCCCTACTTTACTCCCTAACCAAGTGCTGACCTAGGGTAAGGTACAGCAAGGAGATACGTAGAGAGTGGAGCGGTAACTTGTGAGTGATCTTTGGTTGCCAGGATTAAACTGAAAAAAAAATGCTAGATAGCTTGTCAATATGACGCTCGTGCTTGTCAGAACTGGAAAGTGATTTGAGAGAAAATGAAAGAGAGAGAGAGAAATAGATAGAGAAAAGAAATGAGAAAAGGAAGAAGATCTGGACGGGTGATTATAGAGAAGTGAGTTGTACGTACGGTCTCTTTCCCAAGATGGGGAAAGAGACCTAGATGTGTTGATGTCCTAACTATATATATCTTGTGTCTATATGGTCTGTGCACTTTCGAGTGGGTTGGCGTTGTTGAGTCCTCTGTCCTCGTGCTTTGGGACATATCAGTATTTCAACCAACTCTACATCCTTCTCTGCTTGCATTCTTGAATTGGTTTAGCCGTCTCTTTACAGCTACCTTCTTGTCTTTGATTTCGTCGATTAGACATTGACAACCAACCTCAGTTTGAGCCAAGTCAATGAAAAAATCAGAGAGAAAGATGGAGAAGAGAGCTCTTTGAGTGTTCTGGAGACCAGATACAAAAGCGCAAGTTGTATCTCTAAAAAGATACTGTGTACTGGCTCACCTACTAACATGTGTATTCACAGCACAATATAGATCTTGCGGAGCATATTTACTGAGCACATGTCATGCCAAGCTTCTGCTTTTAGCCACAAGTTGCTGCTTCTAGAATCCAATTAAGGGATCTGTGGTATGTTGTAACCTTTTTTGTTGTTTCCATTCTTGAGGACTCGAGTCTTGGGGAAACTCAGTGGCCTAGGCCAAGGACGGCATGTATCTTCGGTAGCACAACATTTGCTCCCGCCTTTTCCCTCGGAAAAAGCTTATTCAAAAGCAATATGGGAGCCATGGTTTTTCACCCTATGTTCCTTTGTTAAAACCTTCGTGAACTTTATATATTGATTGAGTCGCTCAATATACGACTCTCTACCATCCGCAACTGTACCTCTGTGGGCAGTTCAAAGGCGATGAAAAGCAATGGGTATCTACATATCTGGCTCAAATAGCCATATATTTTACGAAAGATCTGAATAATGGACTTGCAGACGTAGCTCGCGATTCATATTCACCGCTGCGACCCCGTACAACCCAGATATGATCGATGGAGATAAGCTTCGGGGATGTCAAAGGACAAAGGGGAGGGCGTTGAGTGAAGGCGGTCGGTACGAAGAAAAAAATGGGTTCCGTTGGAAACCGTCAAAGGGCAGCGCAGACAGCCCTGGAGATCTGATTGGTGGTCTTTGCCCAATTACAATTCCTTGGCTTTGTCGGTCGGCTGAAACTGTGCTTCATATCAACGGAGGATGATCCAGGAGAGTCCGACGAGCGAATGAGTAGAGGCTGCCTGCCTGTGGGAAGTGTTCTGGCTCGTCCTGGCCATCATCATTGAGCATCGAAGAGTATATAAAAGGAGGCTGGACTTTGGCACCGCTCGTGCCCTTCCTCATTCCCATCCACCTATTCCCTGGTTTTGAATGCTCTCCACCACCAATTATCTTGAGTTGATTATCAAGCTTAGCTAGGCATTTATTTGAAAGATTTCCCCAGTATTCAATTGGAGATGATTGGTCAATGCTCCATCTTTTTAACTATTGTCTTCATCGCGATTATTGCCCACGGGTGCCCCATCGGCAACACAGAGCCGGACGTCGTCTCATCCCCATGTCACAAGCAAGACACCTATCAATATCCGACGGCGCCGAGTTCTCCCGTCACCCCTCCCCAGAGCACCGAAATAGGTTCATGCGGCAACAAGGAAGTGGGCTCATGTGGTGGTAAGGTCGAGACAACTTCGCCAGCGGAACAAAGTACACCTCCATCAACCAATGAAGCTCCTCCTCCGCCGACCACCCCTTCCTCACCGACAGCTCTTCCTCCGCCGATTACTTCTGTCCCTCTGTCAATGAATGAAACCACTTCACCGAAAAACACTTCGCTATCCACAAATAAAAATTTTCCTCCACTGCCGACAGAGGAATTCGCGCATCCGCCCTCGTTTGAGATTCCTGGAAAAAATCAAATCCAAGGATATTCGGGTCCCTCCGGTGCCTCACAAGAATGTAGTTGCGGCGAAGTAGATAAAAACAAGCCTGAGATCTCTAATTGCCATTCGTGAGTAGTATCTGATCTATCTGGCTACGTCTCCTGGCAGCTTATTGTCCCTGTTGATGTATCAAACTCAAAAACTCTCTTCGCTCACGGATATCATTTAAACTAAACCTTGTCCTATTACCATTTTAGTGCTTTTAAAAACTTCAAGTCTGAGGACGGACTCATCAAATACGGACAACCTACTACTTCTCAATCTTGTCCTACTTGTCAAGTGAGTTCAAATTTTTTCTTGAACTAATCAAAACTAATTATACCTCTTTTCGGAGCCTTGACATGACTACAAAAATTTCATCAAATCCTCTTTGTTTATAAAACAGATCTTGATCCAATCTCAAAACGGGGAAAACATTGCGGTGTAAGTCAACCTGTTTTTTTGTTTTGTTTTTTTAGTATATGCTTGATGCTTAAACTTGATCAAACTGTGCATTGGATTTTTGTTTTTTTCTTCAGTCCTCGAGTTCACTTACAATCCAGCTTTCATAGTCTTTTACGGCAGTGCCCGGGAAGAGTATGTCAAAATTCAATATCAGATTACACACCGTTGCATTCCACTAATGTGCTCCCTGTGTTCCATTTCCACCAAAAAATTCAGCCCGGAAAAATAATGATGGTGATAGGCTCTTCACCATCTACTAAAGTGTTCCTTTCTGTTGGGTACTATTCTGGTGGTAAAGTTTGAATATTACACTAACATATGTACTCTGCGTATTTGAGCAAGATATAAAAAAGTCCTCAAAAATCCACCCAAGAACTATGAAAATAGTCATACATATAGGAGTTTGATTCGAAAGTGGTCTGTTGCTGTCATTGATTGTCTTTCTTATTACCATCGCTATTCTGAAGTACTGTGAACATAAAAACAAAAACAAAAAATATGGC